CTTCATAGTTACCCTCAAACACAAAAATCCAGTTTCAATTGACTTTAATTGATATGTTTCTGCCCTAAGGTTTATGAAGGTGTCAGTAAACAAGGGTTTATATCACCAGAGGTTCTCAGTCATCATGACATCATCCTTACAACATATACAACACTAAGAACAGAGTTTCATCACCTGAGAAAGGAAGATGGTAATGATGAYAATATACAGTGTTAATACACCTAATTGAAAAGTCTTGTCAGGTTCCAAAAGGTTACATCATCAAAGCTAAGACTGAAAGGCAGCATTGGAAAAAAAAAAAATTTTATGTAAATTAATTTAGAGTGAAAAGATTGCCTGCACTGAATAAWATAACTTTCTCTATGAGTTATGCTCAACTGAAATGCAGCATGTWTTGGCAAATAGATTTGGAATTTCTGATATTCAAAATCMCCTTTGTTCTAAGCTTCATTGATTTCACCTTTTTTGCAACTGGACAATGTTCTTGTCCTAAAGTATCAAGATGGGAGATGTTTGGTAAAATCGACAAAGGATGAAGATTCTTTGCTAGATTAAAGCTCTTTGTAGAAAATACACACCATTTTATTTTAGAGTGCAGGCCACAAAAGTGTGTAAAATAGTTAAAAATTGTTTCAYACTTTTGTGGCATGTGCTCTGAAAAACCTGTCTGGGAAATAACTACAGTRGATAAAGTTTTGTTCAAAAATCAGACCAAAGGCAGGAAACACAAGAAATGCAAATCAAGTGAAAAAGAAGAACATTGCTCACTAGTTTGCACTTTAGGCTATCCCACRATACTTCTCACCAATGTCATAAGGGACCATTAAGCAAGCCTGAAACTCTACAATCTTCTAACTTGTTTTATTTTGTATTACTGTGATAGGAAGAAATATGAGATATCAGAAGAGATACATGGCAGTCCCAAGTCCTCTAACAGCTATTAATTTCTGGAGGGTAAACTTACCATCATTATCAACATTGTTAATGWTGAACTTGATTTCCTAATGGGGTCTCAAATAATTGAATATTTTAGATTTGCCTTGATGAAGCACAAATGGTGGAGACTACAACAGCAAAGGTAAGGAAAAAAAATCAATTTAGCAGAGTTGACTAAATTTCACGTGGACTCATTTCATAGACCTTTTCTCAAATACAAATTAATCATGATGCATTGTGGTCTAACTTCAGTACAAACAACACCATATTGGCAGCATGAACAAAAGATGTTTGTACCAAATCTAGACCACAATGCAATGCAAAATGCTATCTCAGAAAAGACCTATGTAAGATAGTAGCTGTAATAATAGTGGTTATTAGTATGGAAGTACACTGGGGCTAGTTGTACTGTATGAAGGGTGAATAGTGCTGTATACCAGATGAATCCTTATCTAGAGTGTAATATGGTTAAATCTCCAGTATGCTGACAACCTTGGAAACAAAGCTGTACATGTCTGCACATGAGAAAGTGTGAATGTAGTGTACATGTATGTATAGAAGAAATAAACTTTAAGATAGGGTTTTGGAAGGCTTTCATCAGAGCTGTCTTCTTACTAGAGTGTACATTGTCAGCAAGTAGGGATTCAAGTACTGTAGTAAATAAAGTCTTAGGAGTGGGTAACTTTATCCATTCCATTGTACAATAGGCTTCTGTAATAAGGTTTTTATTAATGAATCATAGGCAGCTGAGATGGCATTAGAACTGAATTGCATACATCGCTGGTGTGTCACTGGAACACCCATACAGAAAGGACTGGAAGGTCAGCTCACCTAAATAATATACATACTACTGAGTGTCACTAGTTCCTTAAGTAATTCCTTCCACATACTGTCATAGTAAATTCAATTTATATAATTGATTAATGACACATTGATKTTCATGTACCCACTAATCACTACTATTACTCACTCTGTCACCCAATCTGTAACATGTGCTTACATGTATTAATCAGTCTGTCCATCCACCTGCAATCTTGGGCATTACAAATACTGCATCATGTGCATCAACTGAAAATATTCCCCTTCCCTCCCCTCCCTCCCGCATCAATGTTGCAAGAAGGTGTTAATGAATGGACGGCAAATGAAAATACAGCCACACAATATTGTATTAGGGGGAAGGGGGGACACAAGGAAGGTTTAACTGATGAAGAGTGTGAGAAATGTCATGCGTGCGTGAAGATTGTCAACATTTATGGTCCAGGATTGTGGCTCAACTTTTAAACCAATCAAAACAGTAATCAGTGCACCTAAAGCAGAATCTTATAAGGGACTTGAAATGTGTTACGCCCGTACATTTTTTTAGTACCAAGCGTCAGAATATTTGAAACTCATTAAAAATTCAAAAATGAACGTTATGACCATATTTGGAAAATTCGGCCGTAGGATAAGAGATTTAAGGCCCGTTCTGGTTGGCTATAGGGTAAATTTAATTCTTGCAAACAAGGTCAAATAAGGAAATGAGATACAAATTAGATTTGAATATTTCAACGGTCGGCACGGCGTTACACGTTTCAAGTCCCTTTAGGTTTCTGCCTAAAGTTTATCAGTGAAATTTACTCAACTGATAACTGATACAATTTACTAAAGTTAGTGCTGATTAATATTCCGCCATGTAGATAAAAGGATGTGCTGTTATATTATGCAATGCATTTATACAGATATCTATGGTTTGTTGTTGTTCCTTGGTGATTATCCTTACTGTCAAAAGGTTTGGTGGAAGAAGTTACTATGTGATCCATACATGACAGGTCATAAAGAACCATTGCAAAATGTCTTATCTGATTTACTTTGGAGAACAGCTAAAAATGATGTCTTGGATGAGGTATGATTGTTTATGTGGTAAAATGACTCAAACTTGATTTCAAGCCTTTGTTTAGTCATGGAG